TTCAAATCCCGCCAAACGCCTAGAGTTTTTCACACTTGGGTCAACTCACATTTGCATAAGTCACCAGACTCAAATGTGAACATCTCAGTGGCCTAAAATAACTCGCCGATCACAGGATTGTTATCACCCGTGCGAATGTTGCCCCTATGCAATTTGAATGTGGGGCCAATGTGTTTATATCTGCATTGCTGCCGCGTGTTTGGCATTTCTCGCGTATAGAAAAAACTTTCAGATTCTCCAAAGTAGTTGCTTTTTCCGTATGTGCATCAGATCCGAAAAAAGGTGAAGTTTGCAGCCGTTTCTTGTCGCGGTGTTTTGGTTGAGGCCTGAGCCTAGCATTTTGCTTGTATTGGCAGGAATCAGTATGGGATTTTTTCTGCCATTTTAGACCAAAGCTGTTGAGCTTTTGCGGTTGAACCCCCATTACGTGCCCGACCAACTTGGCTGCGGCCTGTTCATTTGCTCCCTGCCGATCCAACACATTGCGGAGCAGGGATGGTGGAACGGCTTCAACGCCAATCCCCTCTTCATTATCATCGCCTTCTTTTTGCCCGTCCTTATCTTCACACCGTGCTTCTCATTTGCACCGGTTAAAGTGGAGTGGACGGATTCCCCACTGTCGTCTCCACGGCCAAAAATCTCACACCGTAGTGCGACAGCAGCAGAAGCAATTCGCAAATTCTATGGGGCGCCAATTACCAAGTTCTACACGCACGCAGTAGGGAGGCCTCTGCTGGAAAATTATTTGTCCTATTAATGTTTTACTGATTTAATATTAGTGGCTTTTTTGTTATAAACTAACCAGTTTTGTTGGGCAAGTTGTATGAGAATCGCCGCTTACCTTATTTACTGACTATCTCTCACACGCATTTATTCTTCACATGAGACTTGTCTAGTGTAACAGCTTTAACGTGATATATGTAGCCCACGTTATCTGCTTAATTTATTATCAACTGACCCAGTACAGGTTGCTGCCGTTAGATTAAGGTTAACGTAAGCAAGATTTTGGTAAATAAGTAGGCTTGACATGTTCACGAAAAATTCTGAAATGTGTTTTCGACTCAAAAAAGAATCTTCAGAAAGATTTTAACGCTAATTACCCCGTACCCTAATTAAAGGTAGTTTACTTACATCGAGAGGTTGACTTTTGGAAGATTTTCGTTGTGATCGCCTGCGTTAACCACTGTGATTGTGGTCTAGCCGGCAGTAATCACCGATTCGTTCTAAAACATACGGCTGTGAAAGTTCGCCGAGAATTATTCTGTCCAGTACAAATGTCCTACTAGTTCCGTTTAAGTAGATCATTTTCTTTAGCTAAATGTCTACCACTTGACATGCTTTTTTTCCTGCAGGGACTATTTAATCATTGAAGACGTTAGCTCGCCATTCACAGAATGTCCAAATAACTACTTATATATGATAACTTAACCGACGGCCAAAAGTACCGTTATTCGAGTCCACTCTACGCTGGAATTGGTCAACCATCTTCTTCTCTAAATGT